ATTTCTCTCTGTCAAGCCTTGATATCTTATTTTTACAAATGTATATTTTCATATCTTCTACTAATTATATTTATGTTAATAGTTAACCAAAAATATAAGTAGGCAAATAAAATACAAATCGTATTTTAATGTGCTACAGTTAGTTGCACACTTGCTTTGGTTTCATTGTTGTTGTTGCACTTAGTTTTCCTTTTTCGTTATGTCTGTCATATTTTAGACGCTTGCCACACTTTTATGGATTTTTGTTGTTGTTGCTACTGCAGCAACGCCAGCGCTGGCTGCATGCCACCGCCTTTGTTGATGATGAAAGTGATTTATCTGCCACACGCGCTGTTGATTCAAAGAGATTACTTGCTGCTGATAGCTGCCACCCGCCGCCCGCCGCTGTGTCGTCTTCTAACCTCAAACACACGTATGTGCATATGTAAATAAGTGCAAAGCAAATAGGCACAAAAATTGCAAACAAATTTTCAAATACAAACATATTTACACGTATACATATGTAAAGAAGCCAGTTGCAATGTGGGCGGTTGGCAAGCAATGCGTTGAGTAGAGTGGAGCAGCGCATTTTACTTTCAATATCTACAACTGCCTTTTGTGGGTTAAATGATGCACTCATTTTCTTTGCTTGCAACGCAAAACGCCTATGCGGAAGGTGAAAATGCGGGTGTGCAGTTGCGTTGTGGCAGGTAGTGTGGCCCAGCGGGCGAGGGTAGAGTTGTTGTAAGTCTAAAAGCACATGGCTGACTGGGTCGCTGTCGACGGCCTACTGACTGCCTGCTGTGCGAGTTGCAATAACTACGCATGTGTGTGTGTATATAGGTGTTGCAAGTATTTTATTGTTACACTTTGACTTTTTCTACATTTCTTTTACGCTGCAATGTAAGTAAAATGCAAAACGCATTTTCAGTTTCCTAAAACTGTTTTTAATTTACATATAGACTTACATTTAAACACATGAGTTGGTCGCAGTTATTTTGCCTTCGCTTGTGTTTCTTCCTTTATTTTACGACATGTTTTTGTTGTTGCAACGGAAGCTCGGCGCATAAAACTTATTGTTGCATACAACAGCTGCCCTCGCGTACACAGAAATATTTGCTACAAAGTGATTTTGCGCCTCCGTTATCTTCGACTAAAGATGGTGGCACCGAAATAACTCTCAGTATTCTTTCTTTTTTTATGTAGTTTTGTTATTTTTTCTGTTTCGTTATATATATTAACCGAGTCGTATCTTCGCTTGTTTACTACCACGCCTTTTACTGTGTGCTGGATCCGTGTTACCCACGAAAGTGATCATAAATTTTATAATAATTATGTGGGAGGTACCTCTTTAGAAAGGTGTATGTAAAACTCTCTTACGACTGTGTTGTTTCGTGTACAAAAAATAAAAGTTTTAAATTGAAAATGCTTTTGTTGCACTTAAGTTGACCTGGGCGAAAATTCATAAAATACATTTTTTCTTCATATCCATTTTATATTGTTCAAAATGTGTATTTTTAGTTTAGATTGTTATGATAAACTCGTCATTTGAGCTGGTTATTTATTACTCAGTGACTAAATTTACCATTTATTAAGGCTCCATAAATCCATCCATTTTTCGAAATGACAACTTACTTTAAGCTTCTATTAAATTGAGGTTATATTTGCGTAGAGGCTATGCTGAAGCAAAACTATTTTTTTTTTTATTATTCTAGCTGAACATTTACCAATTCTTTTTTTTTTTGAACATTTTTTTTCAAGTCATCGACGGAATAGTTTTAATAAATTACTAGTTAGAGCTAGTTAGTGTTATGTAAGGGCTCTTTTAATAACGTACATTCATATGTATGTACATATATATAATGTTTGAATATTTAACAGTTTAAACAGAACCTAGTCTGGATAAATAGGAGTTTAATCTAATACAATGTTCAGAATAAAATTGCGCAAGGCTCACTCTCGTTTCGCGTGTCAACTTGAGTTCTTCGTCTGCAATTAATGATGGTTTAACTCCAAGGACGCCATACAGCGGAATTCCTGTCAGAATTTATAGTCTAGCCGATAAAAAATTAAGTTAATAAAATATCGATGAAGTACTGTAGGAATGACCTCTTGATATCCTTAAAAGGTGATTCGGCTTCAAGCAAGTGACTGCATGGATGGTTGGAGTAAAACTGCTTGGAGCGAAGTTCGCTATACCTAGCTGCTCTTAAGGAGACACCAGGAGGCATACTGTAACTGTCCGAAAACTTCAATCTTGTTAGCGTCTTACTTGATCCATATGACTCTTTTAGGGGTTGCGTAAGCTAAAGCTGAAACCAGTTAGCATGTTAAGCTGGGTTGCAACTTAACTTTACCTTTGTCATTATCAGAGAGCCTTTGTCATTAGCATCAATTTTGTTTATGAAAATTGAGGCTAACTGGTTCGGATTGAAAAAGAAGATTCGCCGAAAAAATAAGTGTGCTGTGAACATCAATTGTCAGGTGCTATCCGTTCTTAATGCTTACAAGGTCATATTAAACTAGTAGTCTCAAATTTAGTCCAGCTCACAATATTCTTCTATTTTGGATTAAGTTATATACATTTTTAACCATTTTAAATGTATGTGCTGCAATTTTGCTTATATGTAATATCTTTCATAACAGTGCATTTCCGTTCCATTGCATATTTCAACGAGCTTTTATCGATATATTCTCCCCCACTTTATAAATGCTCATGCTCTCCACGAGAAAAAAAAATCATATGTGCAACTATTTGCAAAAAATCAACACCTGCAGCGCTGCAGCAAGCTCTTCAACACAACAACACTGTATCTGAGTGTGTGTACACCATAATCAGTGCGCCTACGCTTCGAACGCACGCAACATTTCTACACACGAATACGCATCTGCGAATAAGCACATAAAAAATTGTCTTACAAAATAACCGACAACAAAACGTGACACCATATTCCGGTTATTGAACTACAATGCTTTAAAACAACGACAGCAACAAACAAACTGCTACACGCAGTGTTAGTCATCGTGAGCACTAGCAACATGTTGCCAGAAATTTTGGCACGCGCTGCAAATGTTGCTAACGGCATATCGTATCCATCATATATACTCCCCAGCATCGGCAACATAACTTGCATGTGTATGTATGCGCGTTTAAAAGTATCTTAGCACAACCTAGCCCAACAAATGCAGACAATGCGCATCGCAATGGCGACGATGTTGTATTTGTTTATTGTTTTTGTTATTTGACTCCATTGAATATGTGCCGCTACTACAAAAGCGCTGCAAAGCTCCAAACAATAAAGCAGCCACAAATCAGCTGTATGTGTTGCTGTTGTACTGAGCGTACTCATATGAATTTGGTTTTGTTTTTTCTTGTTTTCATACTCCCTGTACATTCGTATGTATATACATATATATATTTATGATGAGAAGGCGTGCTTGTGGGAGCGCGCTTTCGAGTAATCGCTCCGCTCAACATAATGTTCTTGGAGAAATTTTAGCTTTGCAATGTTGATGCACTAGGCGGTGTTGCCATATGCAATTATCGGGACACTACTCGAAAGTTCAAATCCAAAAAATTATACAAATCAAAATTTTTTAAAAATTATGTTATATGTAAATTTACGAAAAAAAATTGGAAAAAAAATTCTGTTAGGTAGATTAACTAAAATAATAGTAATAATATTGCTAAAAATAAGACTAATATTTGTTGTAAATTGTGCTTCTTATAAAGGCATTTTTTTATGATATTAAAAAAAAAAAGTTATGCTATTTGTATTAAAATTTTTTGTGCAAGATAAAAGTAAAAAACCCAAAAACTTGGATATTTCAGTTTTTTATATATATTTTAAGGTTATGTGAAAAAGTTGTAGAAACAAAAGTTGTAGATATTTTCATTGTCTACAACTTCGCCATACAATTTTTTTTTTTTATAGGAATCGTAGCTTTGCCGAAAATCGCGTTAAACCCTTAAAAGTTTAACCACGACCCGCCCGTAAATTATTTTTCCTTTCACTTTTGTTATTTTATCTTCCATTTCCAATGGGTTTCTAACTGCTAAGAGTTTCTTTAAATTTTTACCATTTTCAAAGGCTTTTATGTTGGCCACAACACCTTTATAATATGTATTCTTTTTTCATAAGTCTAAAATATAGTGCATGTCGAATAATCTGACCTTTTTTAATTCAAGGGCATCGTAAAGTTTTTTTTTTTTATAATTATATAATTTTTTTTTTTATATTGAGAAGTAATTTTTACTCAAACTGGAAAGTTATATGTAGATAAACAAAGTCTGAAACACACCGCTAAGCTAATAACGGAATACTTTACTATACTATGTAACTATTTATATGCATATTAAAGAAATTTTAGCAACATCTACTACATCACTAAAAAGTTATCAAACAAAAGCTGTAATATTCATTCGAAGTTTTGTCAAAATTCTCTTATATGCCAAGTTCTTAAAATCAGCTGACTAATCATCTGAGCTACATCTGTTAATAGTACCGTAATATAATCAAATTTGCTAAACTAAATATTCTGTATCTACATTTACTGCTTTACAGTATTCCCCTGAATAATTTCGTTACAACGGAGTAATGTTCTAGATGTTTTTCATTCTTCATCCACTGCCTCAAAAGAGTTTTTTGATTTTTACTTGTTAACCGCTCTACGAAATACTCACTTGTATGCTCGCTCATACAACAAACAAAAGTCGTCGGGCGTTTTGTTTACCACCAGGCGGCTTTTTGACTGCAGTGGTTGCTGCTTTTGTTGACTTTTCTCGGCACACGAGCACACGTTTACTTATTTCCGTTGCTTCTGCTTTTACTTGCCACTCTCAGCTGGCTGGCACATTAATCACACCGTTGCTTGTCTGCTTGTAGCCGTGTATGTGTGTGCTTTAGTGTTGCATGGCGCTTTTCCGCCTGCTCTCTGCATTGAATGCGCTCTCATGAGTGTCTTCATGCCATGCGGATCGATATAATATAAAATGTTTTCCACTTTTCCATTTACGGTTCAGTCGAAAGCTTCAAATCGTGACGTTCACAACAGAGGAAAAAAGAAAAGCGCATAAATCGCATTCACGCACGAACAGTAAAATAAAGAAATTATTTTTAATTAAAAAAATATAAAGTATTAATATATTAAAAAAATCTCAAAATCTTCCAAATTAATTTAAGGAAAAGCAAAATAATTTTTTTGAACGATAACGTGAACAAAAGCGAAAAAGTTTCGAAGTGTGCTCATATTCAGTATTATCCTGCCGCGTTTCCAGCTACAGAAATAACCGTTAAAACAATAAAGTGTTGGTTTCTTTGTGAGTTTAGCATCGAAACAAATAGAATATGTGAATAATTTGAAAAAAAGGCAATAGAAAATTGTGAAATATTTTAAAGGACTCAACACCACATAGAAAAGTATTATCTCATAGCATCGCCGGAGTGTTGGTGCCGTAACGCAGTAGAGTTGCAGCTGGCCTACGCAATATTCTTGTGCAGCCAAATGGCCGCCAGCATCCCACAGCTGTATGTAATGCCACTAAAAGCTGCGCTCACATCCTGTTCAAGGATACGACTTACGCTCTCCAACGCTCATTTAGCTGTCAGTCCTTTTGCATGGACTTGACTGCGTTGTAAATGGTTTTCACTCTCCACCCCTGTCACTCAAATACAATATATCTGTGTAAAGTTTTGGCTCTCCGGCCAGATGCTCTATTGATTTTACGACTTCCAGCAGAAGTTTACGCACTTTGCTAGTAGAAAAATTCGATTGCACCCCAACGTGGGAGTTCCAAAGGCATTCATGGTGTGCCATTTATTTGTTTGATCTGTTTTTCAAAGTCACCGCTGACTGACGTCCGGCACATATCCTTGACAGGTGACATGTGATAAGGATACACAGTACATATAAATGAAATACATTATACGGCATGAAATGTCACAGAGTGTAGATGTCTAAGTGTTATAGACAAATTTTATAATCAATAATGCCTCCATCCTTGGAAATATTTCACAATTTCCCTGACACTATCTCCCTTACTGCCATCAATCAAGCATTTTTTGTTTCTTTATGCTCAACTCTAGATTACTTTCTTAAGAAAGCTAAAGAAACTTCCAGTAGAGCACTTGCCACATCTACATACGTAACGACGTAGCATCCGGCGAGGGTTTTCTTTGTTCAATTTGGGTACAAAAGGAAGTCCGAAATCATCACAGTCAACGATCTTTCACGTGTCAGCGTGGCAATTGTGAAATTAAATTTTTATAATAATATATAACTACATACAAATTAACAACACAAAAATGGCCACATATGCTGCATTCAAACACGTGGAACTCTACAATGTGGGCAAAACTAAAAAGAGGTAAGCAACCGTACTCGAGTCAAACCGATTAACTACATACTTAAATAAATAAATAAGTATGTACTTTCCATATGTATCTTGTCCGTTAGCTTGTACGGGGCTGGTTAGTGACTTTCCAATTCTACTTCAAACTGGCAATTAAAGTGAAAGGGCTGAAAATCGTACTAAGCGTCAATTTACTAACTCAGAGCAGCTTCTATTAAAATGTTCATCCAACTGAGCGGCAATGTGTGTTTTAACTTGCTACTGGCATTTTGAGAATAAGCCATGTATGTTGAATTGCAGAAGATGACTTAATAGCAGAAAATTAAGCAAAAAAATATGTATGTCTAAGGCGGCGGAGCACTTTTCAGAAAGTGCAATGTTTTGGAGCTTCATTCTGTGGCTACAACGAATTCGGTTGAAAGAATATTAAACTTTCTAAATAATTATCTTTATTACCTCATCTGAAGTTTTCTTTAATCAAAATTTGGTAAGGTTCTTCCTTTTTATTAATTGTACTATGAGCTCGTATTATTGCGCTGCCAACAAGTAGTGGAGTTAGACTTTCATTTTTTCTAGAGATGGATCTGTACTTCAAAAAATTATTCCATCACGGAATAATTACTACCTATACAAAAAACACTGTCTCTTGTCTTTTCTGAATCAGAAATAAATTGTTTAGCTTGTTTCTCCTTTTAGAGTTCTTTTCAGCATCTCTTGATTTCCTTTGACCATAAAATTCTATAGTACAGGCAACAGTCAACAATATCAGTGATGTTTTTCATATGATCCGCATTATCATTTTCAACTTTTGAAGCAATGGCTTAACTAAATTTCTTTCAGGTTTTAAATTACTGTTTAATAACATTAATATAAAAATGAGTACATAAAAAGAGACATTTAACCATTTCGGTGTTTAGCAATACAAACTACTCATAAACACTGAGTTTATCATAAAAAGTAGTGCCTTAACTCACTTTGAACGCTATTTATACATCCTGTGTTTTTTTTCGTTTTCTCGGAAGCAGCTATACCATGGTATTGACATTTTCACACGACCTTCTTAGATATATTTATTAAATATTTAAGGAATAAGATTCTTGATAATAATAACAATTTTTCAAGCCACTCTTATATGTAAATTTTTTTTTTTTTTTACAAAAACACGACCTATTTTGGGATTATCTCAAAAATTTAAATTGTGACTAGTCTTTCGATCATTACCAATTATAACATAACAATTTTTTTTTTTTGTTTTTGAGGGAATTTTATGCAGAAAAATGTTCAAATTCTTTAGACTTTACAGTGGATACAACTCCTTAACGCTGCTGGTGCAACTTTGATACTGAACTATTGCTTGGTGGGTCGCAGATAAAATTCACGCAGGGGTTTGCATTTTATTTTGCAGAAATCTTTAATAACCTTGAAGGTTTATTAAAGGTTTCTGATATGATGGTTTTTCTGTTGATCAGTCCCACTAAAGTTCATTGTTCTTTTTTTCCAAATTGGAAAAGATGTATATAATTAAAGCCTCGATTTAACCATTTCGACGTTTTTCCACTTCCCAAAATTTAGTCAAATATAACAAAGAATTCATAATCTTTGTAATCCACGACTTGACTAAAGGTTAATTTTACGAATATTTTAGAATTTTGCAATCATTTTACTACATCAGCACCTCACCCTACTAATGGTAAACAAAATGAAATCAGCTATCTGCTGAATGCTCATTAAAAACACATTCATTAGTTAACATTTATCGGTAATATAATCTAAGCAATTTACCAAGAATACTCGTAATACCACAAAACCATCCCACACCAGCGTCAGACGGTAGGTAGGGTTATCACACACACAACCGCACAATTCAACTGAGAGTGTTAACACTTTTGTTTTGCTATAAAATTGTTTTATAAAGAAATACACACTTACATGCCAGAAGCCTTAAGCTCGCCCCCGCAAACGCATGAACACATATTAACGTACCAGCGCCACTTGACCCCATTAGAGGTAGATGCAGGCAGTAAAGTGTAGCGAAAGCGTGTTCGAGGTAAGAAATGAGGTTAGGATAAAACTTGAAGGGAGGAGTATCGTTCATAAAACATATGGTCAACCCTGGACAGTTTTTAAAGTACCAACCTCATTTTAATTTGGTGCCTAAGTTTATATGGAGCAATTAAAAGCACCCTCTTCGATGGGTGGACGTGTAGCGTTTTAGTTTCAATCAAAAATAAAATGCATTGTAATGTTGCACATGCAAACATCCCCTGTTTTCTCACTGGCTTATATTATTTTTTACTTCTTTGTTGTTGCACGTCAACTTTGTATATTCTTATGTAGGTATGAATTATACAAACTTTATTAATAACTTAAATTAGAACACAAGTCACTCGGATTTTTATGATATGTTGGCTTTTATACTTACTATAAATATATATTATTTCTCTTCATACGAAAGCAATTAGATAAGCCTGACTTTTTAGAGAAATTTAAGTTTTCTAAACATAGCTTTTCTGAATAAAAAAAGTTTTTTTGTGTTTAGATCATCAATACTTAAATATTTAACTTTCTACAGACTTGGAAACTGTGACAAATTTATTAGACTTTTAAAAATGAGCTTACTGCAACGTGGATTATTCCGATATTCTATTAGTTAAATTACACATTTCTACCTTATATCTACGATATTACCTACCTTTCGTTTTTTCACTTCCAGTAGCCTAAATTTGATTTCGTGGAATTTGTGGACAATTTTTTACCTTATGAATTTTCGGGGAATCAAACATTTACTTTCTATTTTCATTCACACGGCGAGAAGGCTAGAATTTCTTACAACTTATTATGCCATCTATAATATACGGCCTCTCTATAGTCCGAGTATAATGTAATCCATATATATATATAGCTATATATAATATATATATAATCTAATTCCAATATTTCACAAAGGACGATTAGTACTCAGGTCGAATAACCCATCGTCAGTTTCGAAGTATTAATGATGTTAGTTCATATATTTAAAAAAAAATTTAGACTTCCTTTTTTCCGTCGCCGATCTCCAGGAAGACCACTGAAAAGGTGTCTGACGGTGAATAAGATGTTTTTTCTTTTTAAAATTGTCTATCTGAAATCTAAAAACCAAAAAAATTTATAGATGATAGATCGAAAGACAAGTCAAAATTTTGACTTATAATCGTTTTTTTGTGAACAAAATTTAAAATTCAGAGTGATTTAAAAAATCGTATTGTATTACCTGAAAATTATTTCAAAGAAAGTCGTGTGAAACTTTTTCGTCGCTCAGTTCAGAAGAAGAAATTGTCCTCACCGACTCTGGAAAAAACGCGTTTCAAGTTTTGGGAGCCGATTACACAAAGTTTAAAATTGTTTACTAATATGTTACGCTCATACTTCGACAGTATTAGATGCATCAACTTCAAACTTTCGGAGAATATTCTCTAATATATATATATGATATTCGATATACTACGTATATGCAGAAAAATCGATTTTTTTAAATGCACAATTTTCCAATCCCTTAAAAACCAACGCAGGCGAATCCATCAGCCCTTGTGTTCTACATTGCCTTAAAAATAACTGTCTATCAAAATTTGTGTATGCCAGTTCGCATACATCAGCTGGTTGGTAATTTTTAAGCATTAGAAACACTGTTGACCGGTACGTCAGCTGGCGCTTGATTGTGAGATTGCGTGTAGCCGTGTTTGGAACAAATATAGATAAGTAAAAAACGAAACAATAAATGATGTTGTAGAACACGCGACTTGCGTTGCGCACGTTTTACGGTTTGTCTAACGGTATGTTACGTCACGAAGGTGCTGACCAGCCATGAACGAGGCGCTGTGGCCGGCAGCGGGTGGTCATTCTTTTTTAGTTATGCTAATGTGACGCATTCTACGATCATTTTTTAAGGTTTCTCGCCACCATTTGTCGGTCGGCGCAGCGCGCAGTAATTGTGTGTGGGTGTGTGCTTTCCAATATTGTTAATGAAAATCGATAACTCTTTGGACTTTGCTTTACACATATTTAATGTGCATTGTTGTTGTTGTTGTAGCGCCCCTCCTGTCTGTTGGTGTGTTCTTAATTATGACATCTCCACCGTTATTCTATTGCCAGCTGTCAATATTGATTTTTGTGCATTGCGTTAGAAACATAAATTACGCCGCATACACACACGGGGCGCAAGTGTGTTTGTGGATTTTCGTTCGTTGACTTTTCAATATTGAAAATTCCACACTTGTAAAGTGCATTAACCTCGTCAACGTTTAATACGAAAGCGCTGTCTAGTCGCACCGAAAGTCGGCAATTTGGCTTCGACGAATCATAAGCTGATATGTTTACATATCTTTATACTTATGCTGTATGTATGTATGTTTGTAATAGTCAATCAGCGTCAAGCTGGTGAGTATTCTTTGTTGCAAGTTATCCTCGCTCCTACTCAAACCACTTAACGGTTTAACTTGCCTACTTCCAAGCACTTCGTCCATTCACTTCCTGTCGGCTTACTTTTCATATGTGTGTACATATACACATACATATAATATATAGGCTTGATAATGCCACATTTGCAAACCTCTTGCCACATTCTAAACAATCGGCCGCCACAACAATGCGATTTCGCAAATCAGCTGCACTTCGGACGGTCATATCTTCTAGCGTAAAGAGAGAGTAGTCAGCGTCGGCACTATTGATTTTCGTGCCGTTAGAAAATGTCTAAATTCCCCTTATACTGAGGAAGTTTGTGTAGCCTTTGTGCATATTTATATTGTAGTATGTTTCCTTAGCTGCGCTCAGCCCACCTGCTTCGCATATTTGTCGTTTTTCGCGCTTTTACTCAAATAAAACGTTAGTACGCTCGCTTTGCTTGACTTTTCCGAATGTTCTTGCGCCATGAAAACGTTTCCTTGACCATTTTATTGCATTTACCTTTGGAGTTCGCCCGCTTTCTACTTTCCTTGTGAGTAGCTGAACATAAGCGTGCAAAAAGAAGCCGAAAGAATCAA